TGGCTTTACATATTTTCTATCCATCTGCCTTGGCACAGATATAAAGCTCACAGGATTTAGAGACCAGTATGGCTTTACATATTTTTAATCCATCCGCCTTGGCACAGATATAAGCTCACAGGATTTAGAGACCTGTATGGCTTTACATACATTTTCAGCTGATGGCTAAGATCAGTTTATTAGACTGATACAGCAAGTGTGATTTTCATCATTGGCCTAATTCTGTGCCCAAAAGCCTGTTTGGAGACCAGCTTTATAGTTGAGCTGGCATTGAAACGAGATAGGAGAAGTTATAATCAAGAAAATGACATTTGCAATTGGCGTTTAAAAACAGTTCAACATATTGGAACTTTATAGCTGTTATAGAAAACTTCCAAAATATACAAATATGTGCAAGTTTTATGGAATGCTGACTGATTGGACAATGGGTGGCCTGTTTAAATAAAGGAAGCTAGACCATATAAATAAATACTCAACATGTTTTTAATAAGAATGGTTGGATTCTATAGAAGCTAACCAAGCCACAAGTATAGACTTCTTCAATAAAATGTATGCTATATAGAACTTTTCTTCCGACAATACACGGTGTAATAAGCATCCATATAAAAATAGTCCTATGGCTTTTATCTGTATATGTATATACATAAAAGTTATGTGGGGGCAAGGGGGACAAATAAACTTACAATCTGGATTATTGGAAAACGAACAATAGTATCAAATTTCACTTTAAATTACAAGGGAAAACATAACCATACAATTTATTATTAAGCTTATTCTGTGATATGTTACACCAATTGGGTGCTGTCGGAGCAAAGCACGCAACAGTAATACGAACGGTCACAATTAGAGATAAGATAGTCACATGACTAATATAAAGTTTTCTTGTGTCTTTGTAATTGACACAAATGTCCAGTTGAAAGAAAACTGCAATTGTTAGTGTGTCTACTGCCATTTGTTATGACGAGTGAAGACAAACATGGGTATGGCAAGTATGAACACCATACTACGGCACACATACTCATCAAAAACCTAAATATATTTTTTTAAATACAAAAATAAAAGTGTCCGTTAGTTGCACAAGTTTAGTGCATTGTGATATTTTGATTGATTTAATCAATTACATAAATCTATGCCTAGACTTCACGTTGGCAGTCAAAGATTATTTTGTTCACCTTGAATTTGGGGAAGAGGTTAATAGGTAAAACAGATGATTTTGTATTGAAACACCACACATAAAAAGTTTAAAACTTTTGATTCACGAATAATTAATTCACGTAATTTCAAGAATACAAACTAACTTCATTTTTTGGACACATAACACCACCAAAGCATTACCAATGTATCTGTAGTAATGATGGTAACTGCATTTCCCATTAAATGCGTCTTCACGCTACTGATGAAAACGCCAAATCCTGAAGAAATTAAAGATTTGGAAATGTTCAGAGCAAATGAGGCAGACAGAGTGTTTTTTAAAAGAGTCCATTATTGGGTGGGTATTATTTACAAGGATTTTAAAACTTGGCAAACAATGCCTTAAATTACAGAAAATTTTGTTTAAATAACAGCAAGAGGTTAATAGATAGATATCTTTGAAATGATAACACACCTGCTTTTATTTGTCAAGAAAACCCGCAATTAACAAACGGTACTGAGTTACTCCACGATAGCACCTAGCAAACTTAACAAAGGGGAAGAGAAGGGGAGAGTGGGAAAAAAATAAAGGAACATATACAAATACAATGTGCATGGTATTCACAATTATTAATCATCCAAAAACTTATGTACACAGAGATAACAATTATCAAACCACAGTTGTCAACAAAAGTACTCAACTGATGATAGTTAAAAAAAATCTTATTTACACTATGTTCTTTTTTGTTTCATCTTTTAATAAAGAAATCATTGGAATGTTCACTGCAGTATTGACCAATGAAAAAACTAATAATAATAAAATTTGGTGGTCAGTTTCATAAACAATCTCTTCAAATAAGTTTTCTCTAAACGAGTTAGCTTAGCGGAAGGAATACTCTAACTTTTCAAAAACTAAAAAAAAAAAATAAACCAAAAACAAAACAAAAACACCCACAACATTTGTTCATTTCTCAAATAGTCTGTGTGATATTATTGATCAGCTGAAGTTAACAGTTATTATTAACACATTAAGTCCAAGCATGGTGTAGAATGTGTGGCAGCAACAAATGTACAACAATAACTTCAGCATTTCTAGTCAGTGAGAAACTGTAACAGTAAGTCTTGTCCATTCAACTTCCTGATTACTCTTGGTATATCGCATGAAATCAGATTGTACTCATCGATGCTACTAAAATATATTACTTGTAGTTGTTCATTACATTACAACAGCAAGTTTGTTGATGTTGATTCTGTTACTCTAACTCCTCTCAGTTTCATCAAGTAGAACCCCCACAGAGTCCTTCACTGCATGGAATATGATATTCTTTACTTGTAACTTGTCTTCATGATTGCAATGGGTGACGCTGAGACGCCGGAATTCATGTGTCAATGTGAAACACTGTTCTATGTGTTCAGGTGATACAAAGTCCTCAGCAACTTTCACACACGAGTTTAGATTACGAACCTGGGAAGGAATTAAAGAATATATTATGTTAGATAAAAACAAGTGTTATTTCATCATCAATTGAGTAGTTATCTCACAACTCATAACAATGATTCTAAGATACATCCTTCACCAGAGATTTCAATCAAATCTACAAGTGTAAGTATTGTCTGTCATACCTGATGTGGAGCTCCAGCTGGTATGAATACAGCATCACCCATAAATTGTGTAATTGCCCATCCCCTCACGCCATACTCCTTGTGCAACCTTTCTCTCAGTTCTTTATCAAGATATATACTCTGATCATGAATTGGGTCATGGTCATCTGGATATTCTTCATTTCTCTCTTTGGCAATTTTCTTGAAAAACTGACGAATTTTGTCTGTGTCTTTGGAAGCAAAGATATGCCACAGTGCTCCAGGTTTTTCCTCTCTAGCTCGCCGTTTCTGTAAGTCATCACAGTCTGACTCTTCTATGGCTCGGAATACAGCTGTAATAATTTAAATTTCATATTTATTTATTTATTTATTTATTTTATCAACTTGGATATGTAAAACTAGTTTCTGAAAATCTTAATCAAATATACCTTTTGAATAAGTAAAAGCCTCTAGTGATGTAAATATGTTAAACAGTGCAAATATGGTCATTCACAATAACTTTGCAAGATAATGCATACACTCACCAATTTCTGATTCTGATTTTGAGAGGGCACTTCCAAAGGCCACACCCACGTAAACCATAACATTGACTGCATCTGATACATCAAGATGTAAATTAGTTGTACCATTCTTGGGATATTGAGGTGACCCTGTTAATAGAAATCAAACATTACAAAATATTCTTAATCTCAACAACAGTGGAAAATACAACAAAAAACAGAAAAACATTGATGAGAATTTACACAGTAAACCGACTGCTACACATGGATTAGTGTCACATGGACACATTCAGCAAACGCAATTGTGTAGTTGTTACCATGAATAGAATTCTACATAATTTCCATTCCTATATGTACTTTAACGATTACACCTTGCCATATGCAGCAAAAATAGATTCTACCTGCATATTGCAGTGGTTACAAATAAAAAGCACTGACTGCAGTCACCTACCATATGCATTGTACATCTTCGGTCCTAAATCAGGTCTGACAAAAAAGTCTGGTAACCGAGACGCCAGATTCAGTTTACCATCTCGTAGAGTGTAACTCGGTAATGGTAGACATTTCATAAGGTTCTCGTATCTATCAGGTATCAATTCACTGAAGTCTTCTGCTGGCGGCCAGTCTTTCAACTTGAGTACAATGTCATCACCGAGCTTTGTCACAAGACGTTCTGTCAAAAAAAGATATGCATGTTAATATGCCATGGCGACAAAGATATCCAGGTTTTACATGAACTACTGACACTGAACACAATACATAATTTGTAGGGCTGATATTATGGGCAAAGCTTATTATAGTGGCAATGTATATTGCATGAGTTGTCTTAGTTTGAAATAATGTTTTGACTGCAAATATAGCAGCATTAGTTTGATGTCTTTTTAATTACCTGTGTACAGAGCATGCACATTTTTTCAGTAGTTCATTGAATAATACAACTATGTTTTAGGATTGAATTTCTAATTCTTTTTTTAATAATGTAATTTACTTTATTTTCACTTGGAATTTATTTACACTATTTTTACTGAAGGGATGATTCAGTAAAAAAATCTACCGAATATACATGTACCTTTTCCTGTATTTTACATTCAACTCACCAAAAATCAGCGAAAATAAACTCCATACAAAACACCTAAAATTAATTCTAGCTAATATAAAGTATTTTACAGTATGCAAAATTGACAATAGAAATGGTATACTGCTATTAACACATCAGGCAATAATTTCAGCTTTTTATTATATAAATTCTTGAATAATGAGAATAAGACTTACTGTCCATGTCTTCAAAACCCTCCCAGAAGTCCCTCATTGGAGCACCTTGGATGACTACGTCATTCCTACAGTTGACAAGATCGTTTTCTAGATGTCCAAACTGCTTTGTGAAAGACTCGGGTGTCCAGAGTGATGAGTCAAGGTTTTTGTGTACATTACTCACCAGAACAGGCTGCAAAGAGACAACATAACATACAGATTAGAATTTATAAGAATGAGTAGTGTGGGTAAGGTGAGTGAGTGGTTGTACACAGGTGACTGAACTACTACAAGTAATGAGTGACTGGAAGGTGATACCAAATAGACGTTTGCTTTAGGAGAATTATACATGGAGATATAAAAGCAAAATGTATACAGATGGCTGCGATTAAAACTAATCAGATTTTCGTGACTATGGTCATCAAAATAAAGTTTCATAATTGCTAGCAACTTACCACTCCCCTTCTCCATTCCTCTTGGAAGATTTTTAAGTTTCCAGGGTATGTATGGTCGTGTAGTCTTAGAAGCCTGCCTTCACACAGCCACGAATGTGGAACACCAGGGTACATCACGCTTGAATCAGTCAATGTATGCCTAATCGGTGATTTGGACGGATCATCACAGTCTATCAATAATGGTAGTTTATGTTTAAGTTTTTCACGGTGTTTTTCCTTTGCAGGGTGCTGCCTCGGCAGAGCTATGTTCTGTTCCACCACAGTGGCGATGATGTCCTCAAATGTACCAGTCACAGTTCGACAGGCACCATGCTTTTGTCCAATGACTGACGACACAGGTGCAATTGCATTTTCACCTACACCTGCAAGTGTTGGTTTACCAAGACGCCCTGCAGTCTTAGTCAACAGTTCTCTCAAAGTCACACATTCATGTTTGTCTCCATCATTGGTTTCTATGGTAGCAACCTTACCAGTTGCTCTTGCAATTGTTTTAGCATCCTGGCAGGAGTATTGAAACAGTTCAGACAATCCCATTTTGTTCTTCTTTTCATCAGTGCTACCACCATCCAATTTCTTTTCAAATTTGGTCAGTCTGTGTTTATCTGTTTGGGCAGTGGTGGAAGTAGCAATATCTGCTAGAAAGTCAAGTGGCGATGGAGACATGGCTTGATAATTGGATGTTATAAAATTTTCCATAGGTGGTCTGGCAGTAATTGGAACACTAGAACTCTGGGATGGTCCATTCATACCTGCAGTAAGAATGATCTGAAAATAAGATAATACATAATTGTTGTTAGTATAATTATACCATAAATACAGCAAGTTTCCTGAAACGAGTGAACCATTTTATCTCACAATTTGGCATGAAAATTCACTATGACTCACTGACTTAAAGATTCCAATGAAATGATCTATGTGACTAAAGTCAGTGTGATTCACCACTGAAAATTACAAAATTTCCTGAGTTTCTGAATCTATAGCAGTTTTTCCAGTTATAAGATATCAGTACAGGGTGTTCACATGCTATTATTTTAACAAAAGGCATGGTGAATTTACAAAAGCGGCTAATTGACATTACTCTGCAGTAACGTTGTGTCATTCAAGTCTTAATGTTAACAAACACATTTCTTTACTGTGATATCAGCAGGTATATCATACAATACACTGTATAGTCCCTGTATGATACTTGATGTTCCAAAGCCGAGAACACAGACCAGCTTGTAAATAAATAGGACTGACTGTAGAGAGCAATGAATACCTACCTGTGATATACCATTAAGTGCAGTAACTGTTGGCTTGGTACCATTGGCAGGGTTATTTGTTTCGTTCTTGGTCACTGTGTTGTTGGTATCACTGAAAGCACATGGACATCCTGCTGGAATACCCCATCTACCACGTACTTTATGTACCATGTTACCGACCTCCCACAGTGCTAAGCAATAAGTAGACAATATGTACAATTAGTTTCAGTGAGTACAAAGCACAGCTATGCACAATGGTTTCCATAATTTTCTTGCGTTCCAGCTTCTGTCCCTAATTTGAAATTAGGAAGGAAATTTTTATTCATATAGATATATAGTACATAGTAGTTTAGGATAAACACTGAATTTCCTACAATAGAAGTGCCTTACTAATGGAACCCAGAATACTTTAAATTAACACTTATTCATGTCATTCAAAAGATCATTTGAACAAATCAATAACCAATTATAGGTGCATGGAAACCCAGAAATAAAACAAAAGAAGGTAAGATTGGTAAAAGCAAGTTGACTTACCGGAGCCAGGTATAATCTGCGTTAACATCAAATTTTCTGGTAAATGAGGATTTTTACTATTACACATAACCCATTGTGATTTATTGCGTCGTCTACACGTTAAGGAGGATGGTTCCTGTGTCTCCTCTTCTGTGATCAGCTCTGTCAAATAGAATAATCATCATTGTTATAATATGATTTCTTTCATTCTGTAGTGATTTTCAACAGCTATGAAAGCACACAAACCATGATGAAAATACTGATGGTCACACCAGCCAACAAATAGAATAATAAAAAATATACAATATATTTCAAACCCAGATTCCATAAAAAACATTGAACCAGAATCTGATATTTAGAGTCAAATTTTGATCGCTATTATTTACCACGCCAAATATAGCACATTTTTGCATATTTTCAAAGATTTCTTTGTTATTTTCAGATATCAATCAACATTATCGGTATTCCCCATTGGCTGCACTGCTAGTTAACATTATTTAAGAAAATAGAAAAAAGTGTTGGTATGCAAAATTATTATGTGAAAGGTAATAAATATTGAACGTGGCATTTAAAGTGTCAATTCACAATCACTGTAAAATTAGGTATTTAGTAAATATCTCCCACGGCTATACAGTGTGGACAGCCAATTCATGGTAATTGGGTTAACCATGTAAATTTTGCTTCCTGGACCTCAAATATTAAAAGAGGGAACCTCATCTTGCTACAAAAAAAGGCTCTTGTTCTCACAAATAAATACAAAAAATATTGTCAATTCCTGGACATTTTCTCAGCACATTCCCTGATTTGAATTACACGGCCAAAACATACATATATTATGTGCAGCGAATCACTATATTCAGTCCCCCACTTTCACAGAGTACAAAGATTTAAACAAAATACCAACCTATCTTGGGTTCATTCTTTTTCCATTTATAACAATCGAGGCAAACCACAAAACCACACTTCTCACACACCCAATGGATATTAAACAAGGTTGTATCACACGCATCACACATCTCCCGAACACCGGCTACTGCTCGTTTCCACGCAATTTTAGACGGGTCGGTCGCCCAGGAACGTGCTTCCTTTTCTTGTTGAACCAGTTCACAGAACTCGTCACCGACTTTGGACAGAATGTACTTGGAGATTTCAAAGTTGAGTGGATTATCATTGTTTTTCTGTGGCAGCCACGGTTTAAGATCTTCACGATCACAGTCTTCGGGATGAGAAAACCCAGCAACCATCAATATACCATTCTTGCTGTACTTCAGTCTGAAACGTGTATAAACATACATCAGTATAAAAACAATATGGAATACTTGTAGTAGTTACAGTTTTACTTAATTGTTTTTTTCATCAATAACAAATCAGATTCAAGAAAACATGTGGTTCCAGTTATAGATCATAATTGGATGCGCACAAAAATTTCCTTGAAAAAGAAAATTTGAAAACTTCTCGCTACACGAATAGCGCCATCTATTGTTGGTTTAAGTTTCTCTAAACAGCGCCCTCAAGCTTGTGATGGGACATTGCATTAAAGGCACAACATTGAATTGGGGAAATCACAGAAGATACTATTAGATCTTCACTCGAATCTGTTTAAAAAAGTTTTAATGGGTTTGATATTATCTGTTTGAGTAGTATCAACCAGAACTCATTTATATCGTGTTTACATATGTTTCTTGTGTTCCACCACGCCAATGTAATTTACATAAGATGTTAGCAGGTTATACCAGTGTAAAGAAGCTATGACACATGACAGTACAAGTCATCCTACAACAGGCACCAGCGAATACTTACACCAGCTTAAATACAGCTGTTTAACATATTGCATCGGCGTAACAGATAGACCAAGCTATAATGAAGGTTATTTTTTTAAGTACATGTATATTGGTATCCTAAACAAAATTTGTGTACCTGTCAAAAATATTTGTTACCTTATTGCAAAATAGGTAGGCTCAAATTTTAAGGCAGTTATGGTTATTATATTGACCTGAATACATAATTAAATGTGACATATGTCAAATGGTTTCACCCAGTTTATATGTATGTATATTATTATTAATATTTTACATAGCCCAGAATTGTTAGCTATTATTGTTAAATTGAAAAAATACAAAAAAATACAAAAAAAAAAGACAATTATGTCACCAAAATTAACAATTATCAAGTGGCAGTTTTATTTATGCTAAATAATGAAAATTTTTAATTACTGGGTACAACTTTTGACAAAGTGATTTTTTTAGTGAAAACATGCTAATACTTGACAGATTTAAACAATGCAGAATTTATTATTGTAAATCCAGCACCAAAAACAATAGAATTTGCCGTTACATAAATAGTCTTATCAGCGCTCAAATTTTCCCCACATGGGGTACACTACATTGATAGGTTGAAGGATTCCTAAGTCAAATTCAAGCACACTGCCAGCTGGGCTATTATCTCTCATTCAATTATTACTGCAAGTAGGAAAGAGAGTACCGAGAGGGATAAGGAAAGCAATTATAATTGAACAGTGCTTATGGGAACGAATAGTGCATCAACTGTTCAATCAAAATACAATTTTCAGTAATGAACCCTAGATACTAACGTGATGAATGCCTCACTGTAGAATAAACTACGGGGGATATTTTACCCCGAGGACATGTGGGTGCTATTTTTAAAGTTAACGAGGTAGACAACAACCATGTCACACACGTACATGGCAAACCCAACACACATCTAACAATATTATCTGTATTGTAGTGAGGTATGATTATACCGGCATAACCATGTTGATTTTGTATTTATGTAGTGATTTCAACATCAATGAACTCTGCCAGAATTATTGATTGCAAGAACAAAAGCCAATCAATGATACACGACCCTTACCTTCTGAATGCATAGAACCTGCAGAAAATATTGAGTCTGGCCGTCCTGGCAGTGGGTCGAATACGACACTCTCTACACTTAACAAGATTAGGTGACACTTCTACACATGGACCATTCTGTAAAAAAGATTCTCCGGACCTCTTTAATTTGGCAACAGATGGTTTGGAAAACGCTTTTGTTGTATTCAGTCCTTTATTCTCTAATTTTATTTTGTTCTGTACTCTCTTCTTTGGAACTGTTAGAGTCTGTAATTTAATAAGTAATTATTATAAGTACAAGCAGATGAAGACGCAAGTTGAACATGCATATTCCTAAATCATAGAATATAACATTGTAACGCAAGGATAAAAACAGCAACAACTCATGTCTAAGTTAAGTAACAAAGAAGGGTAGATTACAACAGGACACAGGTTAATCAATATACTGGTAATATATCCTGTTTGGATAGTGTGAATCTCACCTGCGGACTCTCATCTGCATTTAATGCTGTGCCTTCAGGGAAACTCTCCCTCATTTCCTCAAATTTTTTCAACTTTTTTGAAAGTCCACGGTTAGTTTTCAAAGACTTGTCCTCACAAGTGTCATCCACATGGTTCAGTTTGTCTTTCAATTTCCGATGTTTTTCTGTAAAGCTGGGAATCGACATGTCAGAGCATGCGGAAGGCAACTCTGCATTTGAAACGTTAGAAATGTTTTTTCCAGCTTCAATTTCGCTGGCAATGTTTGCATTGTTTATATTCTCAGACTTGGCCAAGTCGCCATTTGGCAGTGTTGTTTTGTGCTTTCCTGGCTTTGTCGGTGTGGCGATTCTAGAGTCTTTGGAGCAATCAACATAACACCTTTTTAATTTACCTGGACTCTTAGCATTCCTTTCACCATTTGATCTTCCAGGACTAGTACTGCCATCCATGCAATATTTGCTATCTGAGGTAAAGTTATTGTTTGATGGTGAACTGCATACTTTGGAATCATTTTCGGCATGTCGCTGTAACCACGCCTTTTTAAGATTAACATGAGGTGCTGGTTTACTTGGAGATATGGAGGTATCACGGAACTTAGCAGCAGCTGGCCGACTGTCACTAGACCCAGATCTAATACTACAGTCACTGCTATCCGAAAGCGAGCCATTGGCAATTTTATGCTGAATCGGCTCAGCTTTCAAAGGATGCCCCAGAACAGATGCTGGGGCCGAATGATGCAAGTTTAAAGGTTTTTGGTCCCTGACATGAAGCTTAGACTTCTTACTTGAACCAGGACTAGTTCCAGACTTACTGAGATCTGTGGCGAGAAATTCACCTCTTGGTCCCCCTGTGATTTGACTGTTCCTGTGGTCAGATACAAACGCACGAAAACTCTCAATATAACTAGAACCTGAACCTGGACTTTTCTTCTCACTTGGTGATTTATCAGATAAAGCTGGTGATGTCCGACTATCAGGCATCCTCAACTTCTTATTTCCATGTGCACCTTCTCCAGATTTTCTTTTCAAAGAAGTTGAGACATTATTGTGACAGGTATCAACAGTTAGTGGCTCACTATGAGTTGGAGATCTGAGAGCAGACATTAACAAACTATGTGGTGCTGATGATGCCGTCTGTGTATGTCCTTGTTGAGTTGTTTTGTACACCATACTCTGTATAGCAGTCACTGGGTGAGTAGTGTATCCTAGTGCACTACTTGATGTAGACACAGTTAAAATGTGGCTTGAGTTTATCCCGGCTGATCCAGGCGTGCTCCGACCTTTCTTCCCTCCTTCCTCGTTCTTCTCTGCACTCTTTCGCAGCTCCAGAGGCTGTAGTATAGCCTGTGATAATTGATGTGGTGAAGCAACATGGAGAGGTGACTGAGTCCTTCTGGCAGTTTTACCAGACTGTTCGATAGGTTTGAAAGCAGTTGGTGATACAGCATTACTTTGTAACGGTGGAGGTTGCCCAATCGATGTGTGCACAATAACTGGTACTCCCTGCTTACTATCAATCAACGGTTTCGGTTGTTGATGATCATTTGTTTTCTCAGGGGGACTGTAGTATTTCTGTTGACGAGGTGACACTGAATAATACCCCGTTGTAGTTGCTGCTGCCGAATGTTGTGGTGATAAGTCCATTGCTTGGGGCAATGGCTCAGTGGACTTAGGTTCAATAGTCCTTTCCTTTGTCTGCATAATACTTGACTGCGGTTTACCTTTTTCCATAAATCCTTCCTGACCTTGTCCCGCACTATGTTTTATTAATGGTGGTGGCGTGGACATGACTTGTCGCTTTGGCGGCTTGGCAAAAGCTGGTGGTGTCGTTGAATGACCTCTTGGGGAATGTCCAGGTGAGAGGGAGGTATCAGACCTATCATTTGTCTTTCTCTCAAGCCCTGTGTGTGTTTTCCCAACTGATTTATCAGTGGGACTCACTATCGTGTGTCGAAATGGTTGATAACCTGATATATGTTCTGCTTTTATCGCACGTCCACCACTAGCTCCCGGACTATGGCTGCTATTCCTTGAAGCACAATTTGTCATTCCATGTCCTGGTTCCTGCTTAATCTGTATCCCACCATATTTTGTCATGGGTTCTGGTCTATAGTGTCCAGGTGATCGCTGATGTGCTGGATACGCTGATCTCGCTTCAGGTTTTCTCACCACTTGTTCCTGCTCAGGATTCATCACAGCGTGTTCTGCTCTCATCTTCTGTTCCTGTATAATCAGCTTCTCACGTTCAAGTCGGCGTATCCTCTCCTGAGCTTCCAGATCTTTCTGTCTCAGTATTTCTTCTTGTTGCCTTTTCAATTCACGTTGTTCCAGTTGTTGCTTGTATATGAGTTCTTGATGGCTGACTTGTAGGACATCTAAAGGATGAATACCGGTGGTCTCCTAGGTAAAAAAGAAAACAAGTATTAGCTAGACAGCCTATATGCTAAATATACCCCAAACTTTTTTGGTACTTTTAACTTAAAGTCCAAGAGTAACATTCTTATAATTAAGAAAATACCGGATCTTTTCCCAATCAAATTATGCAAAAAACTAATGAGTTAGAGCTCTTGATATTCTAATTAGACATGAAATGCCAAATAGGTTCAGTCTTGGGTCAACAATGGCTGGCATAGTGATAGGTCTAAAAGTCAAACAGCGCCCTCTATATGCCATGCACAGAAGCTGGTTTGTGTGTGGAGTTGATTACTGTTATATTATGGATGGACATATTCAAAACTCGTAAATAGCAGAAGCAACACAAAGTAAAAATGATATCAAGTTGATAATTAGGCCGACTATACCTGAGCTGTGGTTCTGGGATGCTGGTTTTGTCTTAGGAATTCTCTTTCTCTTTCCCTTTTCTCTTCTTGTATCCTTTGCCACTCCCGTTCTTTCTCTTCTCGCTCTCTCAGGGCCTTTTCCTCAGCTTCCCTGCGCTCCCTTTCCATCTGCTCTTTCTCCTGTAAAACCAAGAAGCAGCATTTCCAATAAACGTGAAAGCAATGTGCATAAATAATGACTGTCCTTTGTGTATGCACGGCAGCAAATGATTCAGCAGTACAAAAGTTTCAGAGAAGTCTTAGAGTCATCTTCAATAAATTTCCTGTAGCTTTCTGAGTTTCCAGGTAAACCAACAAAGCTGATGAATGTTATGAGAACATAAACTCATTCCCACTTTGTGTTATATGCTGAATACCTCCCACTGATTATTGTGATCACCATGAGCAATGATAAAATCAGTTGGTACGGCAACAAATCCTGAAATACTGGCGAGCAATAAAGCTAGCATGCACTGAAGGTCACCAAATAAAATTACTTCATTTTGAAAGCCTTTCTTTCTTCTGGATATTTCAATCAAACCTATCATTCTTAGATGAAGGATACATAACATAGAGAGCCACATGAATAACACTGAATTCAATCGCCACTAGATTGCTTTTCACTTTGTTTCCAATAGATATATTCCCTGTTATAAATTTAAAAAAATGTGAATAAAAATTTTGAAGGATATAAATAGATACTAACTACTACTCGTTGATAGTAGGGATGAAAGATAATCTAAATAAAAAAATTTACAGAACCAAAGTAATATGAAAGCTTGTGGGCATTACATTGCCAAGGAAACAAATGACTATCAGATTGAATTAAGGATGATTAATAGATTCTACATCACAAAGAAATGCATATACAGGGCAAAATATAATTTAAAATAGGTTGGTGACCCTTTTTTTTATTTTGTAACCCCACCCCCAACCAAGACTGATAACCATTTTTTTATTTTGCTTTTTCTAGCATGCAACCCATTCTCAATGCTTTCAATTTTCAACATAACAAAAATTATAACAAAAAAAGAGCACAATTAGAAAAAATAACTTCAGGATATTTTAAATAGATGTACATTTCCTGAGGAATACTTAATATCAACTACAACATATACACACACACTCCTACCTTGTCGGCAAGTTCTTTCTGCTGTAAATCTGTTTTGGATGTTCCTGGCATTGTAATTGTACCTCCTGCTGCAAGTGCAAGTCCACCTAAAGCAAGGCTAGAATTTGGATAATTCCTGAGGGATTCCTGGAAATGTCTGCTCACGGCCGCTTGGGCATCATGCCCATGATGCAGACCAACTTCACGCCTCAGTCTCTCACGCTCAAGTTCATCTTGGGGAGGAGGAATGAATGACTGTGGCGGGAACGGTCGCTGTGGATACTGTCTTTTCCAGAGCATCTGTATTTCGGCCATTGACATTCCTTGAATGAGCATAGAGTGAGGTAACTGGTATCGGTGATGGTGTAATAATTCCGCCTGGTGTAACGTGGCACGCATGTTCATAGCATGTTGATGATCAACGTTTGAGAGTGGGTGTTGGGCATATGCAGGCCCTAAGCCAGCACTGTGATAATTAAACATTAAGTGTTGTGGCATTACATTGCCAGCAGCTGCAGGATGAGACATAGTTTGGTGGGGAGTTAAAGGTCTGATGGGGGATGGTCCAAAAGCACTGTTGCTGGACGATGTTCCAATAGAACCACAAGCAGATGTTGGTCTAAGTGGTGCAGTTGATGGTGTAATTGTAGGTGATGGCGTATGCTGTGGCTGTGGCTTAGGTGGTTGTGGTTGAGGTTGTACCTGTTGTTGTGCCTGTGCCTGTACCTGTACCTGTGCTTGTGCCTCTGCTTGTGCCTGTGCTCGTGCTCGTGCTCGAGCCTGTGCTCGTGCTTGTTGTTGAAGATGGGGCTGAGCAGCACCATGAACATTCTGGTGCTGCACAGATGTTACTTTGGTGACTTCACTATCAGACAAATTTGGGTCCCTATACACAGTGATAGGTTCAGTTGTATCCACTATTAATGAATTCTGAGATTTGGTGCTTTCTGATTTTGAACTTTCACTTGATGGTGATCTTTCATTTAGCTGAGGCTGGCTATGGGGCAGTTGTAAATGTGCCTGCTCTTCTTCTTGGTGCTGCTGCAGCAGCATTTGTTCTTGTTGCACATGATGCAATTGTTCATAACGTTGAGATTGGCATAGCTGTTCCTGTGTTTCTTGTTCTTCTTGCTGTTGCTGCTGTTGTTGTTGTTGCTGCTGCTGCTGTTGTTGTTGCATGAACTGTTTATGATGCGGCATCTGCTGTTTTTGTTGCAGTAGATGCTGCTGTTGTAGAAGCAGCAGTGCTGTTGACTCCTCTGTTCTACTGAGTTCTTCCTTCAAATGACTATGTTTTTGTTTTCGCTGAAAGGTTTCACTACTTTTCGATACAGAATGACTAGGTGAGACAGTTGTCACGCTTGCTGTTGCTACTGCTGCTGTCGTTGTCAATGTTGTTGCTGTTATAGAATGACAGCCTACACAAGTACTATCACCAGTAACATTTGTATTGTCTCTATTCAAGTCTTTTTCATTTCCACCCTGTAAAGAGTCTTTCAACCCCACCTGTTGTGATACCGGTGGTGCAGCTGATAGTGGTTCAGGGTGCTGGTTGTTCACAACAGGAGTAGGAAATGGACGGTCAATTTCTCGTTTTAATGTTTCTGAGTTAGAAGTACTGATTTCACATTTTTTACTTTCTTTCTTATCTCTGGCTTTCTTAGTCCTTCTACTACTACACGAGTTGCTTTTCCTGCTTTTCTTCTCTGAGTCTACAGTAGAAAGTATAGCCGTATTGTGTTCCTGCTCACAGGCAGTACTCTCAAGGAGTTTAAACTTTGTTTTGTGCCTGTGTTTACGTTTTTTCTCAACTAAAGGTACCTGATCCCCAACTTTGTCCATTGTTTTCATAGACACATCTACAATAGGCGGCACGATGGCAACAGCAGCTATCGTGGAACCAACAGAGTCATTAAGATGTATTTTAGTTTCAAGATTCTTATTTCGAAACTTTTTATGTTTGATCGTCTTTTCGGGAGATTTCTGTCTCACAGATTCTAGACTGTCAGTTTTCATATCCTGATTAGTAACAAAGTCTGTTGATTTTGCAGACAGTACTGGAACTGGCGGCTGCGACTGTTCTGTTTTTTCTGAAGACATATCCACCTGATCATATTTGTGTTTTTTCACAGGCGAAGAATTCTTTTCCGACACATGTACACTTTCATTGCTGGTTTTCCTCTTCCTTTCTTTCTTTGATCGACTCCGTGAATGAGAATATTCCTTTTCTGGTTTTGCTGCAAGAAAAAATTATAAAATTAGTGAGTAAACACACTAAGTTAACATTAATTCACCAATGCACTATACGAAAATGAAAAAAAGGTTATTGCAACATTTTTATTATAGTATACCTGTTTTTTCCCTTTCAACTTCAGAGTACAGAGACGTTCTCGCTTCAGATGCTCTACTTTTCTTTTTGCTCCTACTAGTCACAGGAGTTGCATGACTTAGCGACTGGTTTTGATTCTGCAACTGGTTTTGGATACGGCTGGAATTTCGACTGTAAGTTCCCTGAAGGCAACAATTAATATTCATAAATTATCAGATATTAGACACCAAACAATTTTTTTAAAATAACAACTGCACGAGATATTTCAACTGAATTTTAAATTCAACAGCTGGTCATTTTTTCATTTTTTATATTTGCACTACCACAAGCAAACAAACATAGTAATCCTGAATGATTAACTTAGTTACAGTTATTCTTGTTACAAGGGACACAGAATTAATTAATCAAAGGCACAAAACAAAGATGCAAAATGTCAAAAAGCCATTGTAACGACTTTTCTCTTGAATAAAAGAACCACCATTTATTTAATTGTCATACTTACTGAAGAAGACAGCTGAGAGCTGGACGTAGATGTTACACATGCTCTTCTTCTGGAAGTAATACCAACATTCTCGCCTTTTAAAAGGGCACCAACCACTGAAAGAATACCACAAATGTCAATGAGGATGCAGTTAACGTCATAACATGATAGACAGCCTATCAAACTACTGCTCTGGTTTCAGAACTAGTTGCATGTCAATGTCCTTTCAGGAATGATGACGTCTATATCACTTCCAGTTCTATGTACTATACTTTATGGTACTGTCAAAAGCTTATTGTTTTGCTGGGATTTATTTCCACTTAACTAACAAAACGCACATAACTTAAAACCTAGAGAATATGCAAAGTTGAAAATGCAATAGTACTGCTTTCTCCACAGTAGATTTAAAACATCAAATCTACTAAATTTAAACCCAGTATCAGTGAATAGAGCACCTTCTCAGATTTAAAATAAGATGACGCAGCAACAAATTTATTTTCACTACTGATTCAATTCAAATCTGTAATCTTGCCAAACAGCTATTTCAGGAGATGACATAACCGCGTAGTAGATTTACTAGCAAAAACATGTTGCCAACAATAACGTAATTCTGATTACATGCACACAGCAGACATAGCAATTTAAAAGGTCTTCAATGATTTTATTGACCAGTATCAAAAAAAGGTCACCCAACATTGGTATTTTACTAGCAAGCATATGGCAGATTAATTGAACATCGCATAAAAAACTTCACTATAAAAATTTTAGCTTATCCTTCTTGTCTAGTTACACAAGAGCCGATGTCCACAACTGGTATATATTATATCATTTTATATGAGAGCATGTACATTTATGAATAAATTTTCTCAGGGACTTTTCATAATACTACTAAGCTTTGAAGCAGAATAATTTATATTAGATGTAATCCAAACATCAAAGCAAGGCTTACAGTAAAGGATGCATTACAATCTAATATCAAAAGAAGCAAGACGATGACTGCAATATTTTACCCAAAGACTTACCGTCATCTAAGAACATCATCTGTACATGAGCTGGATTTTCAGAATGGCTTTCTAGTACTGTGTCATCCATAACCTGAAGGTCCTACAATAACACAAGAAGAAGACAATTTTAAGCTGCATAGACACCAAAATCAAACTCAGATTCCGAACCAATTAAAATATAGCTAAGTTTAAAAATAACTTACAGCAATCAAAAGCAATAACTATAAGAAAACAAACATTTTGTACATACATACATACAGTACGGTAAATATAAAATTAATATTATGGGTGCACAGTATGCTTTTTATCAACTGTAATCTACGTGATGAACCTTCCATGCTGTTGATAGATATAGTAATACAAGCTGTTGCAAATATTCAAATACATCTCGTTTTATATTTAACCAAGTACGTTAAATAAACACAACCAGACAGTCAATTATTTCCCTGCGAAGGCGGCAGCTCTGAAACCTCAGTTGATTTGCCAGAATGATTATTATTAAACAAAGGGCAGAGGGCAACTACTCAGACTCAAAGGTTAAATTACATGACCCACAAACAGGGTAAAACATTATCTTTGCATTGGCACCACCTTCACATGACCTCCACTGGCAGTGTACCCCTTAAGCTGGTGATAATTTGAAAACTAATTACTTTAAATGAAGTCTGGTGGTGTGTGGTGAATAACAATATTGTTTCGGTACCTTAATTGTGAACAATATATAGTTTGAAAAAAATGCCATTTTGTAAATGCCAGTCTACACAATTAAATTTATCTGATCAAAGTAAACTGACCATAGACATTGCAAAATCTGGTGTCTAATCAGATATTTTTTAAAAAAGTTTGATGTACTTTAAGTCTGGCATCAGACTAATCTTATCAGACACAATCTGATTGTGGAAACCACAGAATTTGATGTCTGATAAGATTCATTCAAAAATCGGATATGTTCAATTTCATCAGATAAATTAGATCATGTATCCCACGATATTGCCATCAGATAAATCAGATGCAGTTTGGTCAGATAAATCGGATCATGCAAATTAGCCTTTAAAAAACAAATCAAAAAAGTTGTTATCAACTAATAAAGAATTAAAAAATAATAATAAAGTTCTTAGAAATAGAATTGCCACATTTCCCAAGTTTCTATTTCTGTTATATGCAAAAAACTCAAAATATTATAGCACATTTCATTTCATTGTTGTTCATCAAACAGGAAGTAAAGTGAACTTTGATATTTAGCTATCCCCGCTTGCTCTAACATTACAGTACCAAATCAAAAATTTTACGTTTAATAGTAATCATACAAAATAAGAGCAATGAAAGAAGTGAGCACAAGTATAAATGCTATAATCAGTAGTTGTAAACAAAATAAAAACCTACCCTTGTTAAAAGATCATGTCCTGTAATGACGGCTGAAAACCACTGAGTTTTGGAATCTAATCTATAGACTTTAACACGATATCCCGTCAAGGAATAAGGTGCTTTCATCAAAATCTGTTGAACTTTCTGGCTGTGCAACCAACTGTTCACCTCCTGCTTCACTTCCTCATATCGTAGAGCTTGCTGGAGACCATCATCGTCATCCTGCAATGAAAGAGTAACAATTAAATTTTTAAAAATGTAAATAAAAAACCATAAAACACTGATTGCTAATGGTTAGAGTCAAGTGCAGTTTTGCCAATATTAGGCAATTGTGTAGCTGACTTTAAATTTATTAACACGAAAAATGTGTCGTGTTGTACGAGTTGCATAATATATATATATATATATATTAAAATAAGTACTTGCATGAAAAATATATAACTAGAAACATTTTGTTATGATAACTGAGTGGGCTGCTAGGCAAATGTCATTATTTTGGTTTGGGGCATAAAACACCAAACACATATAAATAGTACATTATAATAACAATACCCCCCCCCCCCTACAGTGCCATATCAGATTCAGAGGTGATTGCATTTCTCACACACCAGCTCGCTGTGCAAACAATCTCACATTGAATTCACCCGTCTAATACAGCACCATGGGATTTCATTATTACTACAATATAATTTACTGCAATGACTAATATAATAAAATATGTTGAGGCACATTTTAGCTCAGTCAGCATTGCCATCTGTACTGGAAATATTGTTAAAACTATATCCATTTTGAATAAAAACTAGACAAATTGCTAAAAGCTTTATAGATATTGCTCTACTTATTTATTGTCACAAATTCAGATTGAATTTAAAGTGTTTGAAATATTCAGTACAGCTTTTGAAAACAAAAAATACAATCCAAATGTAGAGTGTGACTACTCGTAGCACAGAAATGTGTGTTCAATTTACCATAAAAAATAAGTAGGCAATAAAAAAAAAATGAAAAGTCTGAAAAGCGTAAAAAAGAGATCAGTAAAAACAAATCAACATGGAGGAAATTCAGGCAAATAGTCTAGTGGTATGGAAATGATAATAATCCTCACAACTGATATTAAAGAAGGCAATCATTTTACATCTCAAGCAGATTTCCATGGCAACAGTTATTCCAACATTCATTAATAAAGTCAGCAACAGTGAAAACGTTGCATGAAAAGAAATCAGGTTTTATGAGAAACTCCGACTGTTAATGAATCAAGTCAGTACATGTCGACAAACGATTTATAATGGATTTTCTTAGCGATTCTATTTTCAAATCACATTTCTGACGACAATTGAAAACGACAGACAGTTTCCATGGCAATATTGACTATATCTCTACTAGGTGTATAATCAGACAGTTTCAATGATACATCCACTACATCATCAATGCAATCAATGGAGTACATCAATATTACCACCAACCTTTTCTCATATGCATTTCTGCATACATCCATAGTATCACCACTTTATGGTTCATTTCATTTGTCAGACGAAAACATTAAAGATGATCAGTTTAACACAAGAGAATGAAATTTACAATATTCATTTTTAATTTTCACTAATTTTATCAGAAACCTAAAATTTCGAAGATACTAAAATTTTGAAGAAATCACCAAATTTAAGTTGTTTCAGTAACAAAATTCTAGTACATTCAGTTCTGGGTTTTTCAAATAGAACCCCAGGAATAGAGAAATATAGTATAGTGAACATAGTGAAACAACCGACTAAACAAGAGAATCTAGACAACAATACCACATGAACTATATTTGTTCTATTATTACCGTAAAATCTGTATTAGAAGCCGCATCCCTAATAGAAGTCGCACCCATTCTTTTTGAATAATTGAGAACCAAAAATTCGTCATTTCTCATATGTGTAGATGCTCTAATAGAAGCCTCATCCCCTCTATTGCATTGTACCATTTTAATAGAAGCCGCGGTTTCTAATACAGATTTTACAGTAACACATGTGCCGAGGTAAATTCCAGAGGTGTTTCTATAATCAAAATATTTTCATGTTTTAATGATTCAGTATACAACAATCATGATTGTTCATTTTATAAGCACTTCTATTGGAGAAACTCTTATAATGCAGCAAATATGGCATAGAGTTTACCATATGGGATCCTATAACAGTGGTTTCCTATTATTTCCTTAAATAGCATAAAACTATTCATCAACCTGGATTTAAAATAAATAGCTGACTAGCACTACTTACATTGTATATATCCTAAAACACAGAAACCTAAAGAATTTACAAAAACATACAGACCAATTCGTGACTGCTGGATTAGCTACACATTCACGAGCCATAATTCTCAATAAATTGTAAAACGAAAAGCTTGAAAGCAATGCCGGATGGACAAGCTGTTACAAGAACATGTTACGAAACCTGATGTGAAATGCAATCAACCTTACAATAAAATACTACAGCCATGCACACACTATACAGGTACATGACAATTATTGCGATGGAGGCGCACCTTAGGAAGAGCCCATGACTGAGAGATGAAATTATTACAATAGCATGCATTCTTATTCTTAACAGTATTGTTGTCCTTGGCTGGCTGCATTTTTAAACCACATATCTTCAATCACATCTTTCATCTTCAAACACCCTTAGAATGAAATTCATTAAAAAGCCACAGCTCCAAAACTGGTAGACAATAAATAGGTTTACCTAATCAGTATTAAATACAGCATTTTACATCAACAATGATGAAACTGGTGAAAAGAAGCCATTTGTAATGAAGCGAACGAAGCAGCTATGGACTATCACTTTATAATACAACTTCCACTTTGTTACCAGTATACAAAAAAACAAAATAAATGCCAAGAAAGCTGTAGGTGAGTCATCAACCAATCAGAGATATCTGTGACAAACAGAGTGGTAAAACAGGTCACTGGCCACATTCAGTGATCAAGCACACACCACAGGCAACCCAGCAACAGAAAAACAAAGGAAAATAAAAGTAAGCATTTTGATGATGTCACCAGGGAGCCAATACAAAGACTGACTCGCATGTGTCACATTAATTAATATTATGTGAATATATTAAAAGCCAGACAGAAAAAAATAAGATACGAAAAAAAAGACCTTGGATAATGTTCAAGTGGGTGGAGACAAACCGCATTAAAAAGCCTGTGTTCGTGCTTGGAATGCCTGATTCAATACACAGTCATATGATAAAATAACAAGCTGATCATGCATACAAATGAACTCTACATCAGCTGGCTCATAAGCTGGCTCATAAGCTGGCTCATAAGCTGGCCAATAGACATAAACATATGCAATGATTTCAAACTCATGACAAAAGTTTAAATTTGTGTTGTTTACCATGAATAATTTCCTTCCTGCCAATACACACCTTTTACTGTTGGTTAATTAGTTCTATGTAATTTATTTGATTACTTGATGAAAAATTGTAAAATTGTAGACACAAAAGACCCTTAAATATAATTCTTCAAAAGATCATACATCCTGATATTTATGGTACTATCATAGACATTAGAAAACAAGTTCTATGGAACTATGGACTAAATGTGCAAAAAGTTGTGCCAACCAAGATTACAGACAACACAGTGTCTAAAAGCAGTGAAAATACATGTACAACAATTCTCCTCAAAACTTGTTGACTAATAGAGCAAGTACGGTAATGTGTTGATTTATATGCTAGAACCTGTCAATGCTTTTAGAATGAGTGGTGATGCTATGCGTATGGTATGTGCATAAACCAGTCATTGTGGGGTGGATGTGCTCTGGTGGTGATCATAAATAATCTACCGGTACCTCTACTGGCATGAAGTGACATACCATGGATAACCACAACAGCAGGTCTATACAATATGCTACATAGATGCCATGGATACCAGGTCACAAGTGAAAGACTGTTGAACACATCAGTCACATATGCATGGGTCTGTCTACAAAGCTCACAGATTCCATACGGAGTAAACATTTAGGATTTTCAACAGAAAACGCAGATTACTGGTACTCCTGCCCCTGGTTCCTCGCAAATGGCTTCAACATTATCAACTTGTGGCATTTACAAACAACGACCAAGGAGAACAATTTTCAGTCAACGCTCGCAATAACATTCATTATTATCCTGGATAATTAAAGCATGGTGGTAGGCCAAACAGGCGAGACCATGACTGGACACAAGTCAAAAGTCACATTCTCAGTTGATCACCTTTTCATAATTATCTCAATACCACAGACTGTATATCCACTCATTTTTACAGCCCTAATTTTTTCAATGAATTGAAACATTTTTAGCTCATGTCTGGCATGTTCAGCCAAAGAATTCAGCATTTGTTATGTCAAGAGCATTAATGAACATATAAAACTATTTCAAAGAGAAGCCATATATAGCAACCAATCCATACTACACTATTTACTGACACAGTCATCAATAGAAAACTTTCCTAGTTATTCTACAACAGACAAACACCCTGTCGATTTATTATCACATTTTCTTCTTTATAATTTGAATAACAAATTATTATATCGTAATTATTTACTTTCCATTATGGGATCACCAATGAAATCACAGACCATCCCAAACCTCGATTGAATTCAGGATTTTTCAAGGTAATTTTCAAAATCTTAAAAATACAATGTTCTGCATTTTGACCTTACATAGCATGTTACCGGTACTGTAAAAGGGTTAATTATTTACTGGGTTTTAATTTTGCTTATTTCACTGACTGGAAATGGTAAAATAAAACCAAGTGAATATGTAAAACTTAGCATAGAACACATTATCTAAATGATAAAACCTGAATTTAAAACCCACTAAATATGCCTAAAAAGTGAAATGCTAAATCAGTGAAATTTAAACCCAATGAAAATTAATCAGTTTACAGTATGTGGAATATCTTGAATATCTACTAGGATATGATTGATAACAGGGATAGAACTGCATTGTGGGTAGAAATAATCATGTGTGCAGTGGTAATCATCAGTTCATACATCAATCATTCTACAAGCAGGTTTTCTATACCTGCACAATTACCGCCATGATGCTCCATTAGCAGCTGGCACCATATTATATTTCAGGTGAACTCCAACAGTTTTGATGGATGACACACAGGCGGTAAGCTTGTCAACATTTGAAAAAAACAACCAAAAGCTGTGCATGCCACACAATAGTTGGGTGGTAAACATTTGATATTGGATCCA